CACAGTAATCTCGTGCGTGGGAAATTAACGTCTCCTACCCCTGCAGGAGACGGGACCTCCATTTATTCGTCCCTATCCGAGAGGACTAGAATATCTAAACCATTTCTTGATGTTATAGAAAGGCAGCATATTCTTCTCAATTATTTTTAAGACCTTGAGTGTTGGTCCCGCCGGGACTCGAACCCTCGACCTCCCGCACATCAGTCCAGCGCTCTATCCATTGAGCTAACCGGGTGCTCAATGGATAGAGCGTAAACTGGACTCGTAAACTGGTGTTAGACTTCTAATATTAGTTACGGTACCATAATAATCTTCGTTTTTATTTCTGCTTTGCGCATTATTTGTTCCTCTTCTTAAACTTGCATTTCTGGATTACTAGGCCACAAAACAGTTCTTTCAGTGTCGGTAACGTTACGTTTTTTTTGTTTTTGTTTTTTTTAGTTTTGTTTGGTTTTTTTTTTTATTTCGTTGATTAAAATAAGTTACTTATTAATTTTAATGAACTTTTTGCTGGTGAAACACCCATAAATCACATTCAAATCAAAGTCACAACTCCTTATGGTATGACACACTACCTAACACCACTCAATGCGAACTTATTGACTGAGTGCCTCAAGGTTAGACAGTTCATGATAATAACTTTTGTGATGGTTGGCCTCTAACAACATAAATTTAAAGGATATGCTGCAAAGATGTATTTCACTGCAATTCCATTCTTAGAACTAAATTTAACCTGATTAAAATATCTCTTAGTCAAGTACATTTATTCGTTTATAATTTAAAATATTACATCATTTTCAAAGTATTTACTCCTTTAACTCCAATATTTCATTAGTAATTGCTATGATGCTGTGATAAATCCAGTCTTATTATAAAATTACTACAACAGATATTAATTTGCTGCGTTTCTTCAATGAAAAAGGTAACGTTTGTTGTGAAATGAAGTTGATGCTATTTTAAAGCAACACACCAAACAGGAATCAAAGCACTTAACATAAGAATTTTATGATCAATACACAGTTCCAAAGGTGCACAAATCTTGAATGTTCTGGGAACTAAACCAAATGAATCAGAGAACTGACGTCAAATTCAAGGAACTCTTCATCACTCGAACAGTTTTTTGTTGCAAGTTGAAATAATTGTGCTAATTGATTTTCTTTTGCTTAACTAAGTAGCACTTGCTGACGAGTTCAGCTTTTTAACTGTCTTATACTTTTAGTACAATAAATGTATCGGTTAAGAGACCTGCTACAGGCTGGCTTGATCCTTGAAGGCAAGAATAACTAAATAGCTTAAATTTAAACATTTAAGCGCAACCCAGGGAAAAATATCTGATTGCCTTGCAAGTTGTTTTGGAACAAGTTTCAAGACAGCTCTCAACTTTTTTGACTTAGTTCAGAAAAAAAGAGCAACAACAACTACATGTGGATTGTGAGCTTCTTGGGTTCTAGCCAAAATTTGTCACTTTCTCGAAGGTATTGTTGGGCATTGTGAAACAATTTGCTGGCTAAAATAGAGATGTCAGCATGCTAAAATGTACTTTAGCTCATTTGCAAGCTCAGCTGATTGTTTTCACTGTTTTGTTGTAATTTTTTCAGTTTTTACTTTCTCAGTGCCCTCCAAAGGGGCAATGGTAGGAATATAGTTTATGTTCTTGAGCATAAATTGTATGGTGGCCATTTGGCCAAGTGACTATGAGCTGGGCCCAAGAAAAATTAATACCTGTGGACCTAAACTCTGTTGCATCATTGTTTGAAAAGAATTCCAGAGGTTGTCACAAAAGTGGATATCAATTTTACCTGACTTATTTCTTCAAAATGAAGAACCCAAAAGCAAAAATAAATGCAGAACCACATTTATCTATCATGACAAAAGTCCTTTGCAAAAATTCAGCCACTGAAAAGCACTTTCCAAAAATGACCACAACAATAAAATTATACACTTAATGTAAGGTCCCTCGGGAAACAGTTTTGTTTTACTGAGAGTCCTGATGTTTCCTGAGGTGAACTTACGAGAAAACAAAAGTAACTAGTTCCCTAAGGGACCATACATTAAGTGCTTTGTTAGACATTTAGCTTTTTCCTTAAACAATCATATTGCAACAACATGCTGTTGTATTTGGCACACAGGCAACAACTGCACAATTGTATTCCAGTTGGGATACATTTGAATTTGAATTCAAGGCCACATGACCAAGAATCAACTGATCAAAGTGCTCGTTTTGTTGAGTGAAAGTCTAGGTATATTATAATAGTTGATATTTTTTGAACCATGGCTACCGATTGAAGTGTTACCTTTACCCTCTCTATATATTGGCATGCAACCTACAGTCCAATTGAGTTTAGAACTCTGTCTTTAATTAGTGGATCAAAGCATCCATAACAGTTATCAAACAAACACTGAGGTTTATTGTACTCCAACAGCTTCTGGGGACCCCGGACAAGGAAATGCTCCAAACTGTAGGCAATGCAGACAATGCACTGTTCTTGGTAATCATCGCACTCCTGACAAACATAGACACGACCAGAAGACTTCCCAACAAACACACCCTAAGAAAAAGAGATTGATGTTTGGTAATTAGCAACAGTGCGAGTCTAAAAACAAGTGGATAATGCTACCAAATGACCAGTGTAAACATGAAAAGGAATCATCTATGAATAAATTAACCCCCTCCCAGTTGGCTCAATGGATAGAGCGCTGGACTGTTGAGTGGGAGGTGGATGGTTCGAGCCCCGGCTGGACCAATACTCAAGGTCTCAAAATAATTGAGAAGAATATGCTACCTTTCTATAACATCAAGAAATGGTTAGATATTCTAGTCTTCTCGGATAGGGACCAATAAATGGAGGTTCCATCTCCTGCAGGGTTAGGGGTAGGAGACATTAATTTCCCACGCATGAGATTACTGTGTGATGGATGTCCTCCCCTGGGATGGGATGGGTTGGGATTATTTAGAGAGGGCCATAGGATCATCAGTTTAACTACTGTCACATGCTACCCACTTAAAAATAAAGTCTATTCTATTCTTTTAGTCTATTCTTTTCTATTCTAAATTGTAGAAAGACACCTGTATAGGAAATACAGATGCCAAAGAAAATAATAACTACAAAAAAAATTTGTAAAGAAGAACACAGTTTGTTTTTCTGACCAAATACCGTAAAATGTACAGAAAGAACCCTACAAATCATGGCTTAACCCTTTCACAGCCTGATCTCATTAGTAACTCTCCTTACTATTTGCCTACAATTCTTAAGATGGCAGTTTGGAGAATTCCCCCAGCAAATTCATATTTTCCTATATTCTCATCACTCATCTGCTTAATATCAAATTGAGATTGTAAGGAGAAATTCTGTCTTGGTCACTCATGGAAGTTAAAAGATTAAAATAAATAATTCAGCTCCTTGGTTTTTCTTTATTCTATAAAGGGATTCACTATGCTTAGCGCTTAACCTAAAAATCCCTTAAACAATCCCATCTTAAATGTTACCTGTGAACCTGACTTCATTTGCATGTATTCAGTGAAATTGCTAATACTGAAAAATAATAACTGTTCCATCTATTTCAGGGGTAGCAAAGCTTCTCTTCTATTTGTTCATTCTGTACTCAAGTTTATAATTAGTTGGCAGTTCACATATTTCATACATGTATATGTCTGAAAAACCTTAATTTAAGACAGGTGTGCAACTTAACAAACAAAAAGCTGACTCCAACATTGCAATTTATGAAAAATATGGCAAAATGTATCATTCATAAAACATATTTCCTATTGGAAAAGGAGAGAAACTCAGAATTGGGACAAAAACCATGAGTCTGTCAGCAAGTTAATTGTCATGTATATTATAAACACTGTGTTGCTGAAATTAAGCCAAATGTAGTCTTTTATTTACGTTGCTTAATCACAGGTCATATATATTGAAAGAAAGTGTCTTGATCAATAATTTACTTACTTAGCAGTTGAAAATGAATGAAAATTGTGATACTCAGAATATTAAAATTGGAGGATAATACTTTTCAGTTAAACCACTAAATACATCCCAGTAGAAAATACACAAATAATAAAGAGGAACCAAATTCCTCTCTCACTCCACTATCTCTCACAAAAGCCTTGTTACCAGCAAATCAATATGCAAATTACCCTCCTAGAGACAAATACATTGTAGTTGTTGTGGTTCATATTTTGTTCTAAGTTGCAAATTTTTCAAACCATTTTAATTTTGATTTTGCTTCGTCTTGTGTTCAATTTACCACACTTTGAAACAAAGGATATAAAAATCAAACTGTTTTCTCACCAAGAAAAAAATGTATACTTCTGATAACACACAGGTTATTGCAATGACAAAAGTCCCATACTGAGGTTGAACCTTGACAAGTGTAACAGTGGGTATGAAAAATATGAACGGCATTTTTTCAAACGGTACAACTAAACAAGATCACTCACGCATTGAGCTTTTTAAACGCAAATATGGAGCAATTCCATGAATCTATCTTGCAAAAGTTACAACTTACACATTAATTCGCGAGCTTGGAATTGTTCACTTAAGCTTAGAGAATCTGTAAAGCTAAGCTTTTTGGTATCATTTTTAAACCATTCTTTCAAACTCAATACAGCTTGTTGTTTTAAAAAATTTAATCGATCGCAAACTCTTTCATTGACGTTCGACATCAACAATCTGTGTATTTGAATAGCGCCTTGATATGTGGTGTAAATCAACACGAGCAATCAAATATAGCTGATTATATTGTACTGCGAGTTAAGGATTGACATGTTCCCCTGCAAAACATTTCCTTGAACAGCTCAAATTAATTACCTTACCTCTACCGGAAAAGACAAGCTTCCTTGCAACACACCGATCTGTGCAACATCTTCTTCGATATAGTATTTTTTCCACACTTGTAAAGTGAAATCTTCGAACACGGTCGATTCGCCACGACTGACGATCACAAGATCTCGATTGAAACCATTTACGATAAGCTTGCGATATTTGTAGTCGTCGAGAAAAGAGTTCAATTCTCCTGAGTCGTTGACATTTAATTTTCTTAGCCGTGTAAAGAAACGTTCTTTATCTGTGGGATCTGCCAAATGAAAGGCGCTGGAAATTTCGCTATCCGCCATGATTGTTCTCTGAAGAAAAACCACACCGGCGAACGGATGTAAATTGGTGGTAAATTCTTCGATGATTTCGGACATATAAAAAAAATAGCCAACAAATGCAGAGCTACAGTAAGGATTCTCGTGTGTTGATTAGCCGTCTTTACGCTTCATGTCGTAAAGACAAACACACAGCAAGAGTCCGCATTCAACAAAATGTGTCAAATCGTAGTCATCATAAATTATCACTAGGGGACTGGGAGAGGGATTCTCAATCCTCACCCCCAATAAGGCAAGAGAGAGGTCAGCAGTTATCACCACTTGATAATCTATGTAATTCCGTGGTTGGGCCACCGTGAATAATTTTAGTTTAATTTCAGAGCAGTTATTTAAAGAACCAAGCAAACCGAAGTCTGGATCATGAATTTTCAATGAAAAGTGGATATATATATATTACAATCTCTCTGATATGGTAGAGAATTACTGACCACTTACAAAGCAGGAATCGCAAAAAACGTTCGTCCTAATAAGGTAATCTATAGTTGCTGTTAAACCCACATGCAAGGATAAGTTCGATCCTTTAGGATTAAGTAATAAAACTCAGTCGTACGTTTTTATAGGCAGCTTGACTTTTCCAGATATTGCCTTAACACAAACAAATGCAGAGAAACTTCTCAAGGATTCATGATTTATATTCTAAAATGTGAGCGATATTTCGAAACAAACTGTCATCTTTCGTTTGAATTTTTGCAATTACTACGCCACAACGTGGTTTTGTTATCCTTGGGAATGTTGACAACTTCAAAGACACCGGTGTCTTCTGAAGGAAGTCATATTTATGTTATAGTACCTATGTATGAAAGTTGCCGCAAATTCTATGATGTTTCCTTAGACATATTTAATTTACTGTCCAAGCACTTAATATAGTGGTGAACTTTGTTCGAAAAATAGCGTGATCAAAAAAAGCTGTTTTTATTTACAAAATCCCAAAGAAGATGAATCATTCCACCATAGGATTGTTTTTCTTTTCCATATTTGTTTTTCCTTGAAGTTTACTTGGAAGCAAGTCATGACTTGATACCTGCACCTACTCTTTGGGACTTGCATCGAACCAAATTCAATAGATTGTAATTACTAAACATGATCACAGATTGATGGAGGTGAGTTTCTAAAGAAACTGTGGTGCTGCATTGGCAGGTTAGTATAACAAGGTAATTTTGGTTTTAACAACTGAGTTGGTAATGTAAATTGACCACCGTGAAGAGTTTCAAAGCTGAGGTTTTGATTGTTTGCTCCGACGAAGGGCTAGTGCTGGTAACATCAGCTTTGAAACTCTTTATGGTGGCCAATCTGTGTAATCAACTCAGTTGATAAAACCAAATTACCATGTGCAGTGCTTTCAATAAGACCCGGCACCTGCCGAAGCTCCGGCGGGTATTCTGTTGTGAATCGCCGGGTATATTTCACCGCGCTCAAGTCACAGTCACCACGCTAAGTTGCAATCAAGTCTCTTTCCAGCGGGTGTTGTACCGAGGTAGCCACCTATTTCAAATCTTATCGAAAGCATTGTACCATGATCTCGAATTAGATTGTTAACTTGCCCAAGAACATAATACAATGACCTGACCATGCCTTGAGGAGCCTGGACGACTTGACTTGCCTCCCTCTCTCTGTTACAATTACATCATAGGTTAACCACGTTCATACAGTGGTTTGGTTAAAGGCTGTGATCCTGAGTTCCAGTACCACCCAATCCATTTCCAAGAAGTCGATAAAAAATGGAGGAATGGCTTAAAGAAAAGCAGGTGTTGCTAAGGAGTATAAAAGAAAAGGAGGAGAAGTTAAAAGATTTTGAGAAGGTGAGAGGTTGAAAACCAGTAAGTGAGAGCTAAACATGAAATAAGATTATGCGTAAAAGAATGTTTATTAATTTGTATGAGGAGAAAAATTAACCATTAGCAGATGGAGAGCCCTCTGTGAGGTACAGAATATTTGTGACCAGTCTCTATTGCCTTATGATTAGCCTAGTAGTATTATGTGCTTTTGATTGGATGTTACAAATAAATCCAAAAGTAAAGAAATCATAGCAGCCAATTCGAGCAAAGAAAATTGCAAAAGCCAACAAGAGCATAAGGTAAAAAAAAGTAGAAAAAAAAAAAGCAAACTGCCTGAAGTGGAGAAGAACATGAGGGAACAAGTTTAGTTTTGAATCCAATTTGTTGTGTGCTGTGCATTAAAAGTTTCCTGCACCAATCAAAGACTGTTATGAAGCAAAACCATTCAATGTATAATGAAATTTTAAGTCTCAATTAATGAAATAGTTATGTATTGGCTAAGTATGTTGTGGTCACTGAGATGAATGTAAAATTTCTTTTTTTTTTCTAGAGGTTCCTTCCCACCACTATAGATGACGAACGACTAATTTTGAAGGTAGAATAAATGCAAATCTGTAGTTTTTAAATCTTTAAATTATGCTAATAAATTTATTTGTAAATGCATGATGGTTGGTTTCATCGGGGTGATTTGATTGATTTTCTTCATCATGTCTTTTTTTTTGTTGCAGTTTGCTTTTGATAAGTTGTACATAAATATGACCTTATTTTGTCACTTTTTAAGGAAAAGGAACTTGAAAAAGAAGTAGATGATATGAAATTCAAGGTAAAAAGATGTGCCTATAAATTTTGGTCAATTTGCTTGAGCTAGTATTGAGTGGTGCTGGTACTGTTGTACCTGAGCAAGTGGTCATTTTTATTTTTGCCCCCCCCCTCCCCTCCCTCTTCCTTGTTACAGTGGTGGTCTCCATGCTCAAGTGATTTCTTGTATTCTCAATTGACTTATCATTTAGTTGTTAAAATTTTATTGCATTATTTTTGTTTCTTGCAAGAGGTGGTTAGTAATAGTTTTCTTCTGTTTGTTTGGTGCCACTAGATTGCCACTTGCAAGCAGGAAATAGAGCTTTTGAAGTTGCGGAAACGGCTAAAGGTTAGTGAGGCTGACTATAGAGGGCATTTTAACAGAACGTTGTTAAAACAAAATCAAATTGATCGATCCACCAATGACTGGAAATTGAATGGCCAGAGGGTTCTTCGTTCAAGTTTGAACCTGATTGATGAAAAGAGTGCGGGTTTTTTTTTTTAAGGGAC